AAAGACTGGGAAAGCCATCTGTAATTTTCTCCGCTCCTCTAATGGTAAAAAGGAGTCAGTACCAAATAATGGGGGTGTTGATGGAAGTACACCTGCTGGATTAACAGGCAGTGGCCTCATATTTGTTTTTACTTTTGGCAGCCGATATCTATCAGGGTGGTATCTGTCTTGCTCTAGCTCTGTTTCCTTGCTAGAGTCTAAAATCTCAGAGTCTCCCTACAACCACCAACTCCTAGCTTCTGGCTGCTGGGATTAAAGGTGTGTGCCTGGCTTCTATGGCTTGTGGCTGACTTTGCTTTCTGAATACTCAGGCAAACTTTAATAAATCATAAATAATGTATCACTATATATACACACCTGTGACTTCATTGGCTTTCCATGGCCTTTTGTTATCACAGCTATAAACAGACACTGGAGTATACTTATAGCAAGGATGCCATGCCTTTGTCATTAGTCTATGTCTCTAAGTTACTGTTATTTGCATGCTTGAGAATTTTCATTCTAGACATCCATCCATCCATCCATCCATCCATCCATCCATCCATTCATCCATCCTTCCAATCCAGTGGTCCCCAAGCACCCTGAGTCGATACCTCTTCAAATCAGTTCTCTAGCTTGGCAGCATGTGGAATTACCTGGGAAGGACTTACCTATCAGGTTTCACCCAGCTGCCCAAGTGACCCACTGTTCAGCCCACATGGAGGATTGCTATGTGTTTCACCTGATGCCTTTAGCTGTGTTATGGGGTGGTCCTACCTATAGGCATCATCACCCCCAACTCTGCCTTACACTCATACTGCAGACAACTAAGTGATTTTCTATTTCAACAACTTGAGTGAAGAAACCTCTTTTACCCCCTAGCAAATAGTTTTGCCGCACAGCTATTTAAGGTTGGAAAGCAGAGACAGGCTTCGGTAGAAGGTGGTCTGTCCCCATTGGTGGTAGGTGACGTTAGCAACATGTAGCAGATAGCACTGACCACACAGATCACTGGTGGAGACATACAGCCGATCAGGGGCTTATTGACTCAATAGCAACGCTGCTTTTTCTTTCTCCATCCCGATTTGACTATAGAATAAGAAGCAGCTGATATGGAGAGGGAAGAAAGAAAGCCCATCATATTGCGCCTGATTTTGTCTTTAATGTAATGGGAGCTCTGGGTTCCCCTAAGGGATAAAAGAGGCCCCCAGGTTATTCTACCCTCTATCAGAAAGGCTATGTAATAGAATTTAGGACAAAGGCCCAGTCTCCAGGAGTACCAATGGACAATTTGGCTACCCATCCCAAAACCCCAATAAAGAGAGGAGTAACCATGAAAGACAGACAGAGGATATTTAATCAGTGTATAATTAGTGAGGCCACACTGGAAAAGGAACAGATAGAGGGGTTCAGTGACCCTCAGATTCATCTTCAGGAGACTGTCGTGATAGAATAAGAATTGGTGCATTGGGGAAAAGGCATGCATGATTTAGCAGTATGGTCAAGGCTTGTTGAGTCTGGTTGATCACTGTCTCAGTTCTAATTCAAGAAATCCTCTTGCTCCCCGGTTTGAGATGGGCATCTTTTGAAGGGGGAGGAGGGCTGCCCTTCAAGGCTCTGTTGTGCATGGGATTCAAGGTGACTTCATATTTAGGATAATTGTTAGAGGTATTTAGATGCCTTCTGGGGATTCTGAAATGGGTCATTATAAAGAGATGAACTATTTTTATTTATTTATAAAAAGTAATAAGAGGCCTCAGTTACTCTGTGTGCTTTCAACTTTGAAGGGGAACAAGATGGGTTATGACCAGCTTCCATGTAGACACTCCATGAGCGAATGACACACCTATTGCAGAGGTAAGCAGCTGACCCAATGTAAAGGAAGTAGCTCCAAAATGAAGGCAAAGATGCCAGGCTTTCACCCTGCGCATTGTCACCTCATTGGCACAAGAGAAGGGTCTGTGATTGTTAGCAAAAGCAGCTTCCAAGAGCCTGTCACTATAGGGCAAATGGGTGTGACCTCAGAACTTTGAGAAGGAAACTAGGCAGAAGGTACCCCACTCAGTATTAATTCCCTCAAGGTGTTCTTTCCCAAGATTACTAGCTATGCTCCTTGGATGTTTTTGTGTAATTGTTGTCTCCAGAAAATGAGTCTCCAGGTTGAGTGCAGAGACATGCCCCTGTTCCCCTCTGTAGCTTGACACAAGAATAAGGAGTTCAGAGTGAGTACAGGTCTTGAATTTGTTTAAGCTCGGCCATGGGAGCCAAAGGGCAGCTTGCACAGGCTTGTTCTCCACCATTACTGGTCAATTGCTTTGACCTATTGACTTTGCAGCTGGCCAGGCTCTCTGTTACTTCATAGGCAGCAACAGCATGGCCCCAACTGAGCAAAGGTTGACTTAACCTATTGGTCTCCTAACCCTGTTATAAAGTCCACACCACTGGAATGTTTATTCATCGCCCTTCAAAGAGTGTTTATACAAAGTTAGAGTGGTGTCACTCCATGGGACTCAATATGGATAGGAGGAAGGAGAATGTTTTTTGTTTTAGAAAATACTGATGTCCAAATCCTTGTTGTTGAGTTTCCTGTTACATATTTAAGATCTTGTTTTGCCCCTTCATTTTGTTGTGAAATATCATTTACCTTAAACAATGAAGACATACGTTAATTGTGTCTGCATAGTACTTTTTGTTGTGATTTCCAATGGTTTCCTGATTTAAATGAGGCACCTCTGGGCCTGGACCTGCTCTGTTCATTTCTCTCCCCCAGAGGGTTCTTAAATTTTTTGATGAAGTATAAACACATTGCAACCATTAAAAATCCTTAAAGCTTTAAAGTCTAAATTGAAATATGGTAACATAATAAATATATCATTTGATCCATTTTTGTTGTTGTTGTTGTCTAAAAAAAGGAAATTAAGCCATGGATTCAACCCCCAACTTTGAAAACTAAACTAAACTAAACTAAACTAAAGAGGCTAGGGGTATAGTTCAGAGGTCTTGTTTGGCATGCTTGAAATCTTGTGTTTGATTTATAGCACCATAGAGAAGAGAGAGGGAGGAGGGGGAGGAGAGAGAGGAGGAAGAAAAGGAGAAAGAGGAGAAGGGGGAAGCATGAGGAAGAAAGAAAGAAAGACAAGAAGAAGGAGGGGGAGGAAAGGGAGCAGGGAGCAGGGAGGGAGAGATTTCCATTGTCATTTGAGCAGCTATAGTAATGCATACAGCTGGTAGCATGCACTTTCCAATGTCCCCACTACTTACTTGCCTGACCGTGCCTGCTGACCTACTGACTACAGTTGACTAAGGTAATTCTTATTGTCACACAGCTTTTCACTCATAGGTTTTAACCTGGAGAAAGAGCACTCACTATAGGCAGGACAATTACAGCATATTCATGTGAAACTTGCATCTACTTTATTTTATAGTGGCTGTCACAGCAAATTAAATTAGCTGTCATCTTTTCACTGTCATTTGTTAATGAGTCATTGAAAAGAAGCAGTATTCTGGTAAGTGATTATTTGTGTGAAAAGTTGGTTGTGCAGAGCTCTCTGGACCCATATACAAAATGGAATATTACTTGGCTGTAAAGAAAATGAAATCATAAAATTTGCAGGAAAATTGATGGGCTTAGAATGTAAAATATTAAGTGAGGTCACTCAAACTCAGAAATAAAACAAAACCAACAAAAATCCATTTCTTTTCCTTCTTATGTGAGGTGATCAGACATCTAATGTCAACTACATTCTAACTACATGTAGGTTCACTGAGGTCTAAAGTTTGAGGCTGGGCAAGCATTTGAGTGGCTATCTTAATCTAGCTCTGTGTTGTTTTCATTTGTGTGTCTATTACAATAAAGTGATTCTTTAAAAGAGAAGTCATAAGGCTGAGTATAAGAAGGACCACTTCTTTATTTTTTCCTTCTTTTTGCATACGTGTGTGTGTGTGTGTGTGTGTGTGTGTGTGTGTGTGTTGTACATGTGTGTGTATGTGTATTTGCTTATGTGTGGGAACATTTGTGTGTGTGTGTAGATACTGGTACAAGGGAGGCTAGAAGTTGACATCAGATGTCTCCCCCAATCTCTGATCACCTCATGTATCTAGTCAGGGTCTCCCACTTCACGCAGACTGCAGTGATTTGACTAACTAGCCGGCTTGCTCTAGGGATCTCTTGCATCTGCTTCCTGAGTGCTGGGGTTACAGGCAAGTAAACCCACCTGCCTTGTTTTGATGTGGGAATTGGGAAATACAGGTAACGGGTTTCTTAGAGGATTGTGGACAAGTCTAAGGCAGATGCATTACTAAATGTCTACCCCAGCATAAAGGATGACTCATGTAAGCTGAAACCTTGAAGGTCTCTCCAAGTTTTGCAGACAGCTAGACAGTTGGAGAATCTCTTCACCTCAGCCGTCCTTGTTGTTTGTGTAACTTTGGATAGGGAGGGACCAGTACATCTAGCTAGTTTCAGGGACTTCCCGAGACTTCTACATTGTCTATTTCCTAGATTTTAATAACTCTTCCTTTAGAACTTTTTAAACCTTCAAGCTCTTCCCTCAGGGTGGAATGTTTCAAATTGTTGCTACACAATGTTGTTATTGGTTTTATTCAGAGCTCTTATTGTTTCCAAAAATGATTGGTGTGCATGTGCATATTTAAGGGAGGAGAATTGAAGGTTAAAAGATAAGCATTCAGCTCACTCTAGTATGTTGCTGTTTTCCAAGGTGGCTATGTTAGCTGCCTCCCATTTCCACCCAGTGTCACCAGCTGAGGATGAGGCTGCCTTTGCTCCCCAACCAGATAAATTTGATGCTGGGCTCAACTTTGTCAGTCTTTCTGGCCCTTTTGTGAAATGTGTAGAGGTGCTGTATTACAGTTTTAATTTGCATTTCTCTGCTAGCTTACAATGCTGAGCATAATTTTATGTATTTGCTGGACATTTGCCCTGTAGCCAGAGGCTTTTCTGCATCCTGTCTGTCCCACAGCTGCTTATAATTAGTCAGAGGCTGACAGCTCAGGCTTATTACTAGCTAGCTCTTACATATAAAACAACCCATTTCTATTAATCTGTGTATTACCATGGGGCCCGTGCCTTACCAATAATGCTCTGGTATCTTACTCTTCTGGCAGCTGCTGTCATCTCTTGACTCCATCTTCTTTCTCCCTGTATTTCTCCCTGTATTAGTTTGGCTTTCCAGCCTAGCAATATTCTGCCCCTCCATAGGGCAAAGCAGCTTTACCCATCAACCCATAAAAGGAACACATACTTGCAGCATACAGAATGACACATCATTGCCACCCCCATCCTGTGTAATGCCTGTTCACATTTTTTAACTATAGTTTGGGTGTCTCTTCCTTGATATGTACAAGAGACTTTTATGAGCCACTTATTGACTTCCTGTATTAGTTAACATTTCAACTGATGTAATAAAATCCCATGGTCAAAAGCAATTTATGAGTTTATTTTGCCTTATGATTCCAAGGGGATTAGAGTCCATTATGGTGGGGATGCAAGTCAGCAAGCAGCGGGCACGGTGGCTGGAGCAGAGAGGGGACAGAGCACACGCTTAACCACAAACATGACGTAGGGAGAGCAAACTTGAAGAGGAGCAAGGCTATGAACTCTCAAAACCCACTCCCAGAGATGACTTCCTCTAGCAAGGCTGCACTGCCTTCCCCCAACACTGCCACCAGCTGGGGACCAAGGATCCAAATACCTGAGCCTGAGGGGACATTCTCATTCAAACCACCACACTTACTTTTCTCCAAATTCTTTAAGTTCTCCATTTGCTAACCGTGCACATGTGTAGTAATAGAGGAATATACCGACTCATTATAAAGCATGCACATCTCAGTTTATTTATTGTAATGGTTAATTTTGGGTGTCCCCTTCACTATAACGAGGGATGATAGGACAATGGTAATGCACACTTCTGTAAGGATGTTTCTAAGAGGCTGACAGGTGGGTCAGCAAACTGAGTAAGAGGCATCCTTCAGCCAGCTGAGGGACCAAAGAGAACAGGAAGGCCGGAGGAAGCTGCCATCTGGTCTTCCTTCTGCAACAGAGCACCTTTCCCGTGTGTCCGACCCTCAGATTCCAGGTTCTTCCTCCTTTAGGCCCTGACACTTGAAGGGTTCTTTTCCTTCAGCCTTATAGCGCTTGTCTCCCTCGGTTGGAAGCTTCTGATTTCTTGGATGTCACACTGCACACTTTTCTGTCTCTCAGCTCCCAGATGTTCACTGTAGATTTTTTAGCCTCCTTGGTTCTATGTGCCAATATCCTGGTTCTCTAGAATGTACATCTATTTATAGGTATACATGTATCCATATCTATCATCTGTATCTATATACGTACTTACATTTAAACTGTTGGTTTCCCCCTAGCTTATAAGAAATGAAGGCCAGGTTATTAGGGTTGTAATGCCATAGGCAATGGGGAATTTCTCATTGTGTGTGTGTGTGTGTGTGTGTGTGTGTGTGTGTGTGTGTGTGTGTAAAATCTACAAGAATCTGTGGTAAACAACAGACATTCAGCAAATACTTGTCAAATAAAGGAAGGAAGGGAAAAAAGGATGTCCGTGATGTAATTTTAATTGGTGCCTACCTAACATGCAAAAAGTCCTGTGCCTGTGCTCGATTCCCAGAACTGTACAAGTCTGGTGTGGTGGTGCATGACTGTAATACTGGCAATCTAGAGGCGGAAGCCAAAAACAACAACAAGGAATAGCTGGGGGTGGTGGTACTGCCTTTCATCCAAGTGCTCCAGAGGTAGAGGAAGGTGGATCTCTGTGAGTTTGATACCAGTCTGGTCTATATAGAAAGTTCTAGACCAGTTAGAGTCAAAACGACCACCAAGTAAACAAACAAAAATCCCTAAAGGATTGTTATATTCATATTTCTATATCACTTTGTTATGTCTGTAATATAATTGTTTTAATTTTTATTTAATTTACATTTTGTTTTATATTACTCTACCTTCCATAATCCAGGTAAATGAAGAGCATAGGTTTGGCACTGTGAGATACTGTATTTCTGAAATATAGCCACAAAAACAACAACAACAAAAACTCCAGTCCTGTATTCTTCTAGAACCTTGCCACTCTATAGCAAGAATTGGAATAATTTCAATTTTCCTTGAGCTTCAGTGGGATTTTGTTGACTATTTTGCTTGATGGAGTCCAGGAGCAATGACATTCTCTGTTGTCTTATTCTAGGTCCTAACAGCAATATAGCTTCTATCTTATCTATCCTTAGGAGAGAGAGTTTTGGAGCCCTAGCCATCACGGAAGACACTGCCATCCTGGAGAAACCATATTATCATGTTACACCGACATGGAGAGAGATGGCCAAAGCATTCTCAGATGTCTAGCTTTCTAGTCTTCCCAGAATAGATGGCAGATTTGGGAGTGAAGAAGCCAAGAAGTTCAATGCAGGCCCAGCCACCATTTAACCCAGAGCCTCCCACATTACTTTGAGCCAGAACCACCTAGTTGAACTGTCCCCAAATTTCTTGGGCACAGAAACTCTGACCAACAATGAGTGATTATTGTTTTAAGCCATTACATTCTGGGGTAATTTGTCATGCAGCAGGATCACCGAACACTTACTGTAAAGCCAGTTAGCGTGATTGAGTCAATAGGAAAAAAGCATGAACCTTGCTCTATTTCATTAAAGTGTGTGCTCCTTAGAGAAAAATATCCTACTTGGCAAAATGCAAGCAATGCCACTTCTTATTCCAGCTATTCAAAATTTTACCATGCCTTAGTCTCTGAGGAAAATTTCATGCAACTATTATTTTTCCAGTTCTCTCTAGTTTTCTCTTTTTTCTTATTATCAATAAAGATAATTGCTTTGACTTTCACATTGAAATCTGCTTCCCTCTTGAAGACATTCTCTATTTTTCAACCTTTTCACACTGATGTAGGTAGGTTTGCTTCCAAGCTATCAAGCTGGGAATTCACTTCAGCACTCTGCCTTAGTGCCTCATACTTCTGGATCTTTTTCTTGGGTTCTTGTTTGTATTAGTTACTTTCCTATTGCTGCCATAAAACAACGTGACCAAGACAACTTATAAAAGGAAGGGTTTAACTTGCCTTATGGTTTCAGAAGGGATTGGAGTCCATGACAGTGGAGCTCAGTTTCATCTCAAACTGAAAGCAGGAGGCAGAGAGAAGACTAGGAGTAGTAGGAGCCCTTTGAAACCTTAAATCCCACCCCCAGTGACACACCTCCTTCAACAAGACCACACCTCCTTCAACAACAATGCCACACCCCCTAATCCTTCTCAAACTGTTCCACCAACTGGGGCTCAGGTATTCAAACATATGAGCCTATGGGGGCCATTCTTATACATACCACCACACTGTTCCAGTAGAACATATATTTAGTAACATTTTTGTGTGATACACACACACACACACACACACACACACACACTTGTTCACGTCTGTATGTGAGTGTATATGTTCTTGTATGTATTTGTGCATACCTGTTTGTGGGGGTGGGGTGATTT